ACAGCGCACGCGCGCGCAAGAGAGAGAGAGAGACTGCCTGAATGACTGAGCGCGTCCTCCATCAAGGTTAAGTCATATTCATAAAAAAAATAGTTTGCGATGTCCTAAGAGTAATGTTGTGGTAATATCCTAATATCCTTTCAATTTTAAGGGTAGTGCTTGTGTCAGCACTGGTCAATGTATTGATTTCTATAAAGTGAAGCATCAGCTTCAGTTTTTCCCCGTTGTTTATCCCAGCGTTTACCCCTCACGTCACTAGCTCCACCCTTGCTCCATAGCTCGTGACCGGAAGAGAAGATGAGTCGTTTTGAGGGGGAGGGGAGGTTAACGTTTTTGATTAAAGATTATGAGGGCACATGAATTTAAAAAAAAATAATGAAGTGCACGGATAAATTATTTTTAATAAACACTACAGTATTCCATTAAAAAATAAGAATTTTCAATTTTGATTTCATAGTGACTTTAACCCTGGGTAAATGGTCTTGTTCCTTGTTCCACGTACCACAATGTTCACACAATACCCTGGGTTCGTAACTAATCAAAAGGTAGTCATGTTTTTAGACTAGGCTACATTTGTAAACCCTGGGTTATTTACTTTTACTACTACTAGCCACGTTTACTTATGTATCGCTTTATACACTACAAATGGTTTCTAAGAAGCTTTACAAAAAGTAAAAAAGAAAATCAATTTTGCTAATTTAATCAAACTAGACAAACTGGTTGGTGATTGCTTACAAGTGGCTACAGAGTGAGTGGCTATTTAATAGTAGTGGTCGACCGATATATCGCCATGGCCGATATACCGGCCGATATTTGCCATTTTTCAAATATCGGCAGATACGTTTTTCTGTTCGGCCGATGCGTTCGAGACTTTTATTTTGACGGCGATGAGAACGGCAGCGCCTGCGCACACAGTGTTCACATACTCCTTGTTCACTGTCGTCGTTAACGGTTTGGTCTAATAAAAGGAATTAAAATGTATACAAAAAGTATTATAATGATTGCTTTTATATTATTAGTAATAGAAAGGCAAACATTATAATACTTTCTCGTTTTCCGTCAGCATTCAGCAAATACGCATTTATATAATTTAAACAAATCTTTGAATGACTAATGAACATTTAATTTCAAAAATCTTGCAAACTTAGTCGGATCCAGCTGTGAGATCTTGTGAAGTGTGCATTTGTATCCTGCATGATCGCGTGTTCTCTGCATGACTTTCAGTCCGTGCGAATTGAATGCTGACAGTCAATCGCGCTTCTCAATGAAGCAGAACTCTCCTAACTTTAAACTCATGATTTCAAATTATGCTGCGTTTCATGCTTTTGCCCAATGTCATATTCATGTAATTTTCAGTGTGCTGTATGTAAAATGAGTGTTACCTTGGCTTTATTTGAAAAAATATGATTCCCAAATCCCAATGCACACAAACTTCCCAGATTACTGAGTGCCCTGTTGGTTACAGTGTTTACTTCCTTTTTAATTATATTTTTATTCAATATTTATTTCTTTGTGAAAAATACTTTGTCATTTAATGTATAAGTATGTTTAATTTACACATTTATTTTTTGTATCCATTTTCAAATTACTGAAAATTTCTTAAATATGAATTAAAATTATATCGGCCATCGGCCACCCTGCTTTCCAAGATATTGGCATCGGCTGTCAAAAAAACAATATCGGTCGACCACTACAATAGTCCACTTTTACAGCTTCAATGTGTTTATAATCATGCTCTTGTAAATTATTATAACAGTCTTTAACTGAAAGAGTTCTGCAATTGTGGTTTCGTTTGTTTATAACCTATGTTTAGACTTTTACTTGCTGCCGACTGTATTTAGACTTCAAAATTCATAAATGTTGTGTTCATTTGTGAAGATTATGACGAACAAAGTGTGTAAGGATTATACCTTTTTTTTGGTCGCAGAGCTTATTTTCTGCAATAATCCAAAAGCCAATAGAAAATCGTATTGGGTTCTTGTCAAGAGAACCAGGGTGATGCTAACCAGAGTTTAGCTGAAAAGCTCTACTGCAACAATCATCTCAGTTTTACACTCAAAGACACCAATTACTCTTGGAACACAAGCATTACTACCAACACACACTTATGTGGGGACAAAATGATCATTCTCCTAAGTACTAAAACAAAAGAAAAAATGTATTTCCAGGTTTAGGAGCTCATCTGAGACAAGCAGCAATTTGAAAGTGAAAATAATGGCATTTACTGCAAGCAGTGCTGACTCATCATCTGCAGCCCACAGGCTGTTGAGCTTTATGTAAGAGGTCTTAAAGTGTCACCGCCAACTGAAACACATTAAACTTGATCAATATAAAAAGTCAACTAGATTTGAATATCATCTGTGTTAGTAACAAGAACGGTGCAAGAAATCCCAAAACCTGAGTATGAGAACTGGAACAGTTAGCAAACAACTCTAATAGACATTTTCCAACACATCTCACACAGTAAGACAAATTTTGTGGTAGCCTACATCTGGAAGAGTGAAAATCAAACGCTGCATTACATCAGTAGAAATTCGTAAGAGCGTTTTAAAACAGTCTGTTCCAGTCAAGCGCAAATCAGCCAGTGGCTATAACTCTCAGAATTATTCTTATCCAAGATTGCAACCCATTTTCAAAAGATGATAATTATACCTGTGAAGAGCCTGGTTTGATTCAAAATGCTACAGATTAAATGGGCCAAAACTGTTCAATTTAAAAAGGAATGTGAAGTAATTAAGTGAGAGAGAAGAAAAACAATGACAGAGAGAGAATACATCTGCAGGCGTTGCAAACATTAGAAGATATAGAGTGCTTGCAAGTTCAAAGCATGTAAACTAAACACACACTAGTGTTGTCACTGTACCAAAATTTCAGTATTCGGTACCAATACCAGTGAAAATCCACGGTTCTCGGTACCAATTTCGGTACCAAAGCAAAACACAAGAAACATGCTAATTGAACAACATTATTTTTTGATTAAAAACATTAAACAAAAATAAAATGTACAAAACCAAAGCCATTCTTTAAACTTATTTAAAATTGTGTTTCAATGTCCACAAGTAATAAAAAGTATGAAAAAAAGTAAACAAGTTTCACCCAAAAGTTTGTCATATTTCTGCTGCCGCTGAAAAACAACTGTTTTCTGTTTTAGAGTTTGCTGGGGTGTTTCATGAACTTCCTCAGCCTGCAGTTGTAAAAGGAAAATATAATATACTTAAGTAAAGCAATGGGCTGAGTCTGACCAAATGCAACATTAGATCATTGACACCAGCTAAAATATAACTTTTCAGTAAATAACAAACCTCAGCTTTTATAATAAATTTAGATAAGATTACATTTATTAATTGCATATCCAATAGATGGAAACTGTAGTATTAAAAACACTTTACAGTAAGATTCCATTTGTTAGATAACATGACCTAACGATAAACAATAGTTAATTTCAAAATTTACTAATACATATAGGTGCATCTCAATAAATTAGAATGTCGTGGAAAAGTTCATTTATTTCAGTAATTCAACTCAAATTGTGAAACTCGTGTATTAAATAAATTCAGTGCACACAGACTGAAGTAGTTTAAGTCTTTGGTTCTTTTAATTGTGATGATTTTGGCTCACATTTAACAAAAACCCACCAACTCACTATCTCAACAAATTAGAATACTCCATAAGACCAATAAAAAAACATTTTTTACTGTACATGTACTCAATACTTAGTAGGGGCTCCTTTTGCTTTAATTTATTATCTAACATCAACTTACAGTGAGTGAACAATATATTTTTACAACATTAATTAAAAATTATATAATGCACAATGAACAAACATGAATGATCAAGTGTTTGTATTAAATAAAATTCACAAACATTAATTAATGTTGTAAAAATATATTGTTCACTCACTGTAAGTTGATGTTAGATAATAACATGAAGTCATTGTAAAGTCTACACAGGAGATCAAATTTGACTGTACTTTTAGTTTTATTTAATCCAAATTGTGTTCGTATTTCATTTTAAAGGGCTTTTAAAACCTGCTAGAGTTATCCAGCCAAGAATAACAACTAACCAACTAAAAAAAATAAATAAATAAGCCCAGGGCTGTTTTTCTGATGGACTGATATGACAAACACTGTTAACCATACATTCTCTTACACGCATGTTTTGGATACACAGTTATTTAAAAGCCTCTGGTGTGTAAAAATAGTAAATACAATTATGTCCTCCTGTTTTTTACACTAATAAAAGTTATAGGACCATTAAATAGTTAACAAAGAAACTTAATTCTAATGCTCAATATATTAGCATTAGCCTTGCTTATGCTAACAATGAACTACGCTAACGGCGATGTTTATTTCAATCCGACATTCAAATTAAAATATGGAATAATATTCATAACAGAAGCTCTAAATATTAAAAATTCAATTAAACTTACCTGCTTGAACTCTTTCATTTGATCCGGGTGTCGGTCTTTAAGGTGTTTTGTTAGTTTGATGTGTTTCCTCCTGTTAAGGTCGCCATGTCTCAGTGCTTTTATGAAGAGGATAGCTTTCAGATAGCGCATCAAGAACCGGGTTGACTGGGTACTCGGTACCACCGGTACTTAAGAAAATCTGGTACTGTAACGTTTTCATTTATTTTAGTACCGACTTAGTACCGAAATGCCGGGTCTTTTGACAACACCAAAACACACACACACACACACACACAGGTTTGTTTTTGTGAATTGTGGGGACATTCCATAGGCTTAATGGTTTTTATACTGTACAAACTGTATTTTCTATCACCCTACACCAACCCTACACCTAAACCTACCCTTACAGGAAACTTTCTGCATTTTTAGATTTTCAAAAACACTAATTCTGAATGATTTATAAGCCTTTTGAAATATGGGGACACTCAAAATGTCCTTATAAATCACCTTCTCGTTGTAATACCTATGTCATAATACAAATTTGTGTCCTCATGAATCACAAAAACTCAGCGCACACACACACACACCTCACCTCTCTGATTTTGTCCCTTTTTTCCTTGGTGTCAGGGTCCCCTGGGTCACCATCGTTGACCCCTACTAGTTTGGGCATAGGTACTGGAGGCAGTGGTTTGGGTCCATCTTTCTTCTTCAGATCCTCGACTACCTTGGTCTTCTCTGTCTGGATCTCTGCCTTCAGCTCCTCTTTGGATTTACGGAGCTTTTCCTTGGCTTCCTGCAGTGCCCGCTCATGATCTGCCCGGATCTTGTCACGAAGGCTCTCCTCTTCCTCCCTGCAGACATGGAAGGTCATGGAGTGAAATACATCAGTAAAGAATAACTTTAATTGCGATTTAAAAAAAAAAAAAAAAGTGTAGGCACCAGTCTATATTTTATTTATACATTTATTTATTTATACATTAACATGTTTTATAAAATGTTCAAATTATATAAATTGTTCATATAAATATAAATGTATAGTTTATACTGCCAGTTTTTTTACAGATCTACTTGTGGAAAAGTTCAGTGCCAGTAAGATCAAATTTTTTTTAAAGAAATGAATACATTTATTCAGCAAGACCTTGCATTTAAAAAAAAGTGACATTTATGCTACAAAAGAAATCTCTTTTGAATAAATTGCCCCAAATTATCATATAAAAATTATAAACATTTATAAAGAATCATATGACACTGAAGACTGAAAAGACCGAAAAATCAGATGTCAAAGAAAAAAAAAATAGTTTTTAAAATATTAAAATAAACTTATTTTAAATTTTATTTTGATTTTAAAAATGTATTTATTTATACAAATATCCACAGAAGCAAGAACTGAACTCCAGCCACAGAGGACAGTAGACCAACAACAAACAAACCACATCAATCTCTCCAACAAACCAACATAGGTTTATAACCAAACAATCAGCTCATATAAATATCTTAGGGTTCTGTTGTAAATCTTCCAGTCAGTGGAAAAATGGCAGATATTTGACTGCAGGGACAATAAACAAAGACTTTTACACTGCTCGCAGCTTCTATAATGAGGCAGACAATCTACTCAAGGCATTTCTTCTACAATTGAAAAACAGAGCATCTCAACATCAGCTTATGTAATGCCGCTGAGCCTGCGATTCTGCAACGCTGCTGAATCTAAAGCACCAAAGCAAAATAAATTATATTTATACATTATAAGCTTGCAGTCTGAATCGAATGTGAGGAGTTAAAAAGAGCCAGATACTGTGAAATAAAAGAAAGACAATAAACAGACATATACATCTTTCAATTGCATTGACTTTGCTGGCATAAAACGTAAAACAAACATACAAGTGACTGAGTTGATTCTCATAATGAATCAGTCTGAGAGACTCCAGAATCATCGGTTTAGAGCATTCTAATGAACCTTCCACTGAATCAGTAGTTTTTGAATAAACATCTGACTGAATGAGTGAACCGCAAATCATTACTTCCATTCATGTTCAACTTGTAATGAACCGAAAGTGTTTACCATACGTACTTAGACTGTGTGACTTAAATTACCATAATTACTGGCTGCTTTTTTCATAACAGCGTGTAGGTTATTCAGAAATCATTTACAGGTTGCTTTGTAATAAATGGGACTAAAACAGTATTAAAAGAAACAATGTGTTTCAACAATATTATTTTGTTCCGTATGTATGTAGTTAAAAGCAATTATGGGGGCGGAGTGTGGGAGAACACACAAGAGACTCATCATATAATACAAGCCACAAAGTAACATAATCTGATACCACACACACATAAAGAAGAATAAGGGTGGAGACAGAAGATTTTTTAGGTCTTGTGAATCAATGAAGCACACCAGACTAAAGAGCGAGCAGGGGGGATTGTAAGGAAAAGAGGTCAGGTGGATACAGTGACACAGACAGTGATATGCTGGGGCGAAGCGGGTTATCGCAGACTGGTTCGCTCATTGTTAAATACAGCCTGGAAACGTTCCCCAGGTGACAGTGAGACTGGGTGGGGAAGACCGACAAAACATCTGCTAAACTATACTGGCTTAGAAAGATAGTTCACCCAAAAATGAAAATTAGCCCATCATTTACTCACCCTCAAGCCATCCTAGGCGTATATGACTTCTTTCAGATTTGGGATGTTCATTTTAACCGTTTAACCGGTTAACCGACCGTAAGAATTTTGACAGATTAATACAATCAGTTAAACGGTTTAATAGTAAAAGTAATTTAATTATTTATTTTTTCAGTAATTTATCAAAATATTTAACACGCACGCAAGCTAGATAATTCCGCACACAGCTGCAATTCCAGGTTTTCAAACAGAGATGGCGACAAAGAGGCAAACCTTACGGACTGCAGCTTTAAGTAAAAATATGTTTCTCGTATAGGCCTATTTATTCGTTATATATATATATAGCCTAGCTTTATTATGTTTATCTCCGCTCTCAGAAGCGCTGCAGGTGCGTGTCTGTGCTTCCGCGTTCGTCACTTCTGAGCGGCGCATGCGCAACGCCGACGTCCTACGTCATCCGCCCGGAGCTGCTTCCGTGTACAACAGTTAGCACAAGCTAGATTAAATTATTACGTTTTGCACTGCAACACCCGCTGACTGCCATTAAACAGCTTGGAAGATCAAAGACAATTTTTAATATAACTCCGACTGGATTCGTCTGAAAGAAGAAAGTCATATACACAGAGGATGCCTTGAGGGAGAGTAATTCAAGGGCTAATTTTAATTTTTGGGTGAACTAACCCTTTAACATTCATTTGAATGCTTTCCCTAATACATAGGGCTGGATGATATGGCCAACATTTATATCACGATATATTTATTAATTTATACGATATAATTCCGATATCGATATGAACACTATTAAAAAAAGCCTCGTAAAAACTGCCATGCATGCCTACAACAGATGTCTGTCTAACAAACTTATGAAAAATGTCGATGACACCTCATATAAAACCATATAATATTTTAGAAAAAAAACAGCACAAATAAATTAATGTTCACCTTTTATTTGTATTTGGCCTTCATACAAACAAGAAATGTAAAATCAGTCAAATAATCGTCTCAAATTCATCAGGCTGATTATTCTTATAGATTGAAACAAATGTGCTTTAGCCAGTGTAAAGAGTATGAAAAGTGCTCCGAGTTGCTGCAGGAAAAAAAAAAAAAAAGACCAACAACAAAAACATGTTGCTGGAGATGGGCTTATTATTGAAAATTCAAACTGATTGTCTGCCAGCATGAGGCGCTTTGAGAGCGGTAGAACTAGCGGTTTCTCCAATAATGGCTGTAATCAAATCAGCTCCGCTCATGAACGCTTCTTTATCAGATAAAATGAAAATGCCATCGAAACTTTTCTGAAGACAGTCCTTTCCCTTCAGAGATACATTCATATAAAACACCCGCGCCACGTTTTGATTTTGAAACGTGCAGTGCTCATGTTTATTCAATGAAGTCAAACGCCACAAATAAATCAATGTATGGGAAACACTAATCATGTATATCGAAATATTAGAAATGTGTTTAAAAATCATATCACCGTTACTGAAAAAAATTATATTGCGATACATATTGATATTGAATTATTGTCCAGCCCTACTAGTACATAGTTTACTAATGACAATATTTAGCCACTATTTTGCATCATGGTGCTTCATTAGCTTAAAAGATATATGTGACGGACACTAGCGTCATTGTACTGAAGGATAAGAGCTGTAATTACAGTAAAGCATTACTGAGTGCTGATATGCGCAATTTTGATGCGCGGGTTAAATGACTAGTCTGCAAACGGGGACGTGCGTGAACTGGAAAAATGTGGGCACTAATGGCTCCTTGCGAGGGACATGAGAGCAAAGGGCTTTGCTAATGACAGTAAACACCAATAACACTCTGCATTGCATTAGAGTAGAGACATCTAATGTCTATGGTAATGCTCCACTATAATGGATTCAACTACAAATCTCAGCCTGCAACCACTCGCCCCCTCTCACATTATTCTTTTGGATTTTTTTTTTTTTTGGCTGCATAATCTCTCTCTCTTTGAAAGGCTTTCTCAAAGCTGCAGTAGAGTCTAGGTGATTTCATGGAAGGCTCATAATGTCAAACATGCAATTAGTAGCATGTCAACATTTGTCTGAATCAATTACCCCAACTGAGACAAAATCAGTCTAGGGCAAATCAAAGTGTGGCTGCATTAACATCAATTACGTATGGTACTACTTTTTATGAAATATTCCTTTATTTCCAGGCATTATGTGAACCCACCTCAGGGCTCGACGCTTACTTTTCTTTTTAGGAGCACCTACTAATCAATAATCCAAAATGTTATCAAAAAGTAGCCTTCCCATTACGAGGTAATATTTGACTCCTCTAACTTTATTAAAAGTATGTCATCTTTTGTCAAATTCTTAAAAAAATTATTTTATAAGCTTTTAAAAAATGGTCAGTCGCACTGGTGCTCCTAAAAAAATTTTCATAGTCGCACGCAGTAGTTTTCAGTCGCAAATGCGACTGAAATGGTCGCACTGTCGAGCCCTGCACCTACAGTACAACGTTCACATGCTCTAGCTGGAATATACTTTGGAACGTAAAGTTGTTATTATATGAGATCCATGTAAAAATGCTCAGTGTATGTATATATATATATATATATATATATATATATATTTCAGTCTTGTTTGATGAATATCGTAAGCATGCATTTACAGTAATTACTATTTGCTCTAAAATGGCTTAAACTAAAAGAACCATTTCAACCATTGCAGTCAAGCATTAATAATCAAGCAAAAACTAAAATACAGTGAAATAATATTTTTATTGCCTGAACGGATGATACATTAAAGGGGCAGTTCACACAAAAATGAATATTCGGTCATTAATTACTCACCCTCATGACCTTCATTCATCTTCAGAATACAAATTAAAATATTTTTAAAGAAATCCGAGAGCTTTCTGACCCTGCATAGACAGCAACGCAAATGACATGTTCAAGGCCCAGAAACGTAGCAAGGACATCGTTAAAATGGCTATTCCATGAGACATCAGTGGTTTAACCATATTTTATGAAGCAACGAGAATACTTTTTGTGTCCAAAGAAAACAAAAATAACGACTTTATTCAACAATTCTCCTCTTCAGTGTCATTATTTACTACACGTTCACAAGAGTACCATGACGCATGAATCCCTGTTGTGTTTGGAAATGATTCAATTACATTTATTTCAACCTGTAAACCTGACTAAATTTATGAACCAAAAAAAAACCCACCACTATGTCTCTGTGCTCACAAACACAGA